AATGCTACCATTAATCATTACCGTAAAATCGCCTTAGTTCGGTCACCATGTAACTTTGGTCATTTTTAAGAAAAAATACAAAAAAAGTATGCAAAACTCCAATTTTACAATTTTTTTTTCTCAATTAAAATTTGGAATTAGTTTGTAAATACGAACCTATAAAATAAAAAGTAATGTTTATATGCAACCTGCTGAAATAATTCTTTAGCAAAATAACAATTTGAAAAAATACATACTATTAAAATCTAAAATAAGCAAATTATTAAAATAAATGGTTATTTGATCTTAATATTATTAAAAATCATCAAATTTATTATATTTACAAAAAAGAAGTTATTAATTTTTAAAAATTAACTAGTTTTTTTTTTTTTTATCAAAATTAATGAAATTTGGAAATACTTTAACTTTGGTCATCAGTTTTCGGTCTTCAGTTTATGTAACAAGTTAAAAATTACAAAATACAACACAATATATTACAAGTAGTAAATCGTATAATAAGATATATAAATAAACATTCTTTTTAGTTATATATATATATATATATATATATATATATATATATATATATATATATATATATATATATATATATATATATATATATATATATATATATATATATATATATATATATATATATATATATATATATATATATATATTATTTATAGATAAGAAATAATCAAGACAAAAATAAGAGAGTCTTTTTCAGTTTAATTATTTTAGGTACTATTTTTAAAAGAAATTTTAATTTCTTTTAAAAATAGTACCTAAAAATAGTACCTGAAAAAAATTTTTCAGTTTAATTATTTTAGGTACTATTTTTAAAAGAAATTCAACTGAAAATTTTGTGGGGTATTTATGAGTAATTTCAGTGAAGTAAGAGTGAAATATATTAGGAGACAAACCATGTTTTGATTTAAACATTAGAAGCATAACTTGGTATATATTAATTTTATAAACATTAAGTGCATTAAGTTCGCTTAGAAGAGATTCACCATTAACAGTTCTGTTAACGCCAAATATAATCCTACATGCATGTTTTTGTTTGCTATAGATTTTTTTAAGTTTCCCATAATTAGTACTTCCCCATGCAATATTGCAATAAGAAAGATAACTATGAATAAATGAAAAATATATAATTTTTAAAGACTCAATATTAAGAAATGGTTTAATTTTATATAACATTGAAATATTTTTGGAGATTTTGTTTTCAATAGATTTAATATGATATTTCCATGACAAATTTTCATCTATAATCACTCCTAGAAAGTTAACAGTTGACTCTCTTTTAATAATTGTTTTATTCATAAAGAGATTGGGTAATTTTTGGTAATTTACCCAATTTGGTAAATTGGGTAAACAAAATAATATTTTAGAGAAAGGTTATCTTCCCTACGAGGTTTGTGGAACAAGATAAATTTAGTTTTCTCACCATTTAATGAAAGTTTATTATTTGTAATCCAGTCATTTATTTTTAATAATTCTTCGTTAGATATTCTAAACAGTTCTTTTATATTATTGTGTGAGTAAAAAAAACTCGAATCATCAGCAAACAAAATAATATTTAAAACTTTGGATGCTAAGTATAAATCATTAATATAGAGTAGGAATAAGAGCGGCTCTAGGATTGATCCCTGGGGAACACCACAAGTTATAATATGATTTTCAGTTTCATTTGCTGTATATAATATGCATTGTTTTCTGTTTGACAGGTAACTTTTAAACCATAGTAAGTTACTATTAAGTATTCCATACAGTTCTAGTTTTTTTAAAAGAATATCGTGGTTTACAGTGTCAAATGCTTTTGACAAATCAATAAAAACTCCTAATGTATAGCAATCATTATTGAACCCATTGGATATATAATTTATTAGATCGACTACCGCATGATCAGTTGAATGATTCTTTTTGAACCCAAATTGTTTGTTATACATTATATTGTTCTCAGTTAAATAAGTATTAAGTCTATCATACATAATTCGTTCTAACAATTTTGAGAAACATGGTAAGACAGAAATAGGTCTATAATTAGACATAATCGTGTCATCGCGAGATTTAAAAATAGATATGATCTTAGCAATTTTTAATTTCTCCGGTACAATACCGGATTCTAGTGAAAGGTTAAAAATGTAAAACAGTGACGGTTCAATAATATCAAACACTGCTTTAACAACATTCTCGTTAATATTATCTATTACCCCACATTTATTACTTTTTAGACAGCTGAATGCATTTCGCAACTCATTTATGTTTAATTTTACTTCTTTCATAGATGTATTGATTGATTTCATATAAGATTCAAAGTTTGAGGTGATTTTTGGAATTTTATCAGCTAAAGTTGGGCCAATATCAAGAAAATATTTATTGAGCTTTTTAACTATGATTTCTTTATTATAAATCATTTTCCCGTTATCTAATAGTTTTTGTGGCAAATTATTTTTTGGATATTTATTTTTACCGATTATCTGCTTAATCACGTTCCACGTCTTTTGTGTGTTTCCGCGTGTTTTTTCCAACAACCTTGCATAATATTATTTTTTTGCATGTTTCTTTTTTTTTTCAAACGTGTTTTTATAATTTTTGTATTTTATTTCATTTTTATATGTTTTATGTTTTAAATATTTTTCATAAAGTCTTTGTTTTCTCTTTAATGATTTGTTTCTAAGCCCTTGGATGACTTCTAAGACCTTTGGTCACCCAAGGTCTTAGAAGTGAATTAGGATTTACAACTTTTTTTTGTACTGGAAATGCTAAATCATAGTGTTTACAAAACTGCGTCAAAAATAGTTCATACGCATTATTCGCGTCTTGTGATTGTAATATAAGGTTCCAATCAGTTTTTTCAGATAAACGATTTCGAAAGTATAATAAAGAGTTTTCATTGATTTGTCATATTAAGATTCTTGAATTAGAGACGTAATGGCTAAGGGTTATATTATCTGTAACTAAGAATATTGGCTAATGATCAGTTATGTCGATTTTGATTATACCCGATTCTAAGAAACAATCATGAAAATTATTAGTGAATATATTATCTAATAATGTCGACGTGGTCTTAGTTATTCTCGTTGACTTATTTATTGTGGGAATTATATATTGTGGTCATTCACGGATAAACAACGAAGGAGACAAGTAGCAGTAATTTTGTGAAATGTTGGTAAGTGTTGCGAATGTATAATTTACCGGTAACTTTACCTGTAAATTTACCAGTAAGTTTTGACATTTTTTTAAATGGATACACACCATGGTGTTTTATTTGAATAAAAAATTTGTTCATAATTTCAAAATTAACTGACGGTTCTTTGAGTTCTCAAAAATATCAAGCTTGTGATTTTTTTGGAGATAAAATTAAAGCTCAAAGACAATTATGATTGCGTTGCGAATCCTGTGACAATTGGTTGTGTGGATCTTGCTGGTCTACTATGGTCAGCAATACGTGCAAGAATTGCCAATAAACATACAAAGCTCATTTAAAGCAATTTAGTGTTTTTTTGTTAATTGAAAAAGCCTTTATAAATTAATTGTAAAATATATTTATAATTTTATTAACTAGTGGCGTAGCAAATGTGATAATGGCCGATGTATTATTACTTTGAATAGTAATAATAGTTGACTAACTACAATAAAAATAAAAAATGCTACTACTTATATCTAAAAAGACATTTTTTTATGTAATCCTTTTTGTTTTCTTTGGGTGGCCCAAAAGACTTTTTTTTTTTGAGCCCAGGGCGACGCCCTCCTTAGTTACTGGTATTACCTGAGTTTATATTATAATTTTACAAAAAAGCAACATTTAAAAATTAGTTGTTATTATTTGTGACGTTAAGATTGTGATACGTTAATAGTATTTATACAGCGGCTGAACTTATGAGATGGTATTGAAATTCGGTCAAAGTAGATGTTTTCATTTTAAACTAAATATTGAGTACTAGTTTTTATTTTTCATTATTTTTTTTTACAATATCAACTATGAATATAATTTTTTGTATGTTTCAGGAAAAAAAATTGAAATTTTTAATTTATGCGTGATAAAAAAATGTTCAAAGCTTAAGTGACCAAACTTAGTCGATTTTAAGGTATTCATTATGAAGAAAGTACAAAGCTAAATAGCTCTAAAAAAAATAAATTTCTAATAATTTCTTTTGAAATGGATTTTGTTTGGTAAAATACAAATAAGAATTCAAGTTTTAATGATATAAACGCTAAGATTTAAATAAAATATTCTTGACATCATTGAACATCCTCCACTGCACAGTATTATTTTACTTAAGAAATAATCCTAAATATTTATCGAAATGACTCCTGATGTCCTGAATGTCATTACAGCATTACAACAGCATTACAATGACATTTACGTCGGCTACAATATTAAAGAAATAATATTTTCTTAGATAGATTAGCTGGTACAACTGTGCAATGTGATTGGGTTAAATCTTATAAAAAACATTTTCAAGAATCGGAATTAAAAGCAAAAACTATTGTCGTTCTCTTCCCCTCAGAGAATTTGGGTGTTTTATAAAAGATGTTTTAATTCCTAAGAAATTATGACTAGTTGAAAAAATTTTGATTTCAAGATTAGAAGAATTGAACTATCCTCTCTTGATTTCCTGGTAAGTTTTAAACTCATAGGTTCTTCTTTTCGCAGAAGGATTATACAATTTTAATTTCAAGGGGCACCAGCAATATTTTGCGTTGCTGTAAAATAAGACCCGTGAATTCAAAAGTTAGCTTTTTTTTAATTTTGATTGGCTCGCTTGATTGTTATGTTTCTGATTTTGCCGAATATTTGTTTGTATTCCTCCAAGGATATAGCTTTATTGCTTGGAGTTGATTTGCTAAAAGTATTAGCAGAAGCATTTATTGTTTTTAGATAATTTTACCTTAATTATTTACTAAAGTAAATCTGAATTTTGTATTTATAAATCAAAAAAATTAATTTCTCTATCTTCAAAAAATAGTTTTAAAGTTACTATTTACATTAATAATCTTATTTTTACGATGACACAAAATGATTTTTTTCAGAAAAAAACTAAAATTATGAAAAAATAAGATGAATGGATTATTGCAAATTTTATATAAAAAAATAGCTTTATAACTAAGATGGATGAGCTTTCGCCAAGAAGGGTCAATTTTTAAATTTATTTCTAATATTGTATAATTTATCTTCTTGATGATGTAAGTTAAAAGCGCTTTTAACTTACATCTTTTTGTTTTTTGACTTTTTTTGACTTTTTGTTTTTTATAAGCTTACGCTGAAGCCTAAACTTATAAAAAACAAAAAGTCAATAACATGCCTTTTAACCATTTCTTATATGCATTTTTAGATTTTATCTTAATGCTTTATTCTTTTATTAAAGGAAATAAAGCAAGGAAGAAGAGCTGGAAATGTATTTCAGTCTTTATCAACTTCTATTTTATCAGAATCATCAACAACAACTGTAACACAAACACAGAATGTAGTGAGAATGAATTTTTTTAAATTTAGCTTTTTCTGAAATTTTTGATATATGTCATAATTGAAATTAAAGATACTAAGGTAAAGCTAGAGTTAGTGTATAGCCTATAATAATTTTATTTTTTCGCATCATTATAAAAAAATAAAATTATTTTAGGCCACTTTATTTGAGATCTTTTATAAATAGCTTTAAAATTCACTAAAATACTAAATTTCTGTTTATTATTTTGAATTGATATCATTTCTAAGAGAAATATGGTTCTGTTGATTATTAATCACTTTAATTAGTTTTTTTATGAAAGTAAATGTTTTAATTAGAAAGAGCTTAATGCACAACTGTTAAAAAAGGTGATTAAAGCAATCAAACAATATAGATCAGGCAAAGGAAATCCATGTTTTAATTTTATTAACATTATACAGATAGAGTTTTAATTGAAAACAAAATTTGTTTGTTTGTAGAAATAGTTTAAATTTTGCTTTAAATATGGTTTTGATAATGGAGCTTATTTTAGCAGAATGGTTCAGACATAAAAAAACAAAGAGGAAGGAGGCAGGAATTTCTATGCAACTAGCCAAATAATGACAGATGCCTATCATATGTAAGCAGATGTCTGCCAACTAGGCATCCAAGCATTATTAGAAGTACTTTCCAGCACTAGTGCTCACATTGCTTCTGCCTCAACATCATTATTACATATATTGCTGTCAACATCATTGTCCATTGCAGTGTCATTAACAGAATCATCACTTTTATCTTTAGCACCTGCAGAAAGACTACAGACACCATATCTCCTTCATCCTCAGGAGAAACTTCTATTAGAGACTTTTTTCTCAAAGAGCTGCAGCCTAGATTTGCGTAAACTTCTGGGCATGGTAGGTCAGCTAGAGTCAGGTATCGCTACAGAGAAAGCTTAACAGGTTATGAATGTTTATTCACAATAAAGTTTTTAATTGTGAAAAAACCGGAGGGGTGTATCCTCCGATTTTTCCTAGTTGCCCTGCAGGCAACTGAAATAGTTTTTATTTTTCATTTGAGTTGTCTGCTATGATAATCATTAGTCTAGTATAATTGTTTTTTTTTAGTTACAAAGAAATATTCATAAAGAAATAACTATAAAAACAACTTTTAAAGATTGTCATTTTTGTCGTAGTTCATATCTTTTTCATGTCATTTCTTTTTGTCAATCTTAACAAAGGTTTTATTATGTGAAGTAATAAGTAAAAAACTGGAGGATACACCCCTCCGGTTTTTTCACAATAAAAAACTTTATTGTGAATAAAAATTCATTACCTGTTAAGCTTTCTCCGTAGCAAAACCTGACTCTAGCTGAACTACCATGCTCAGAAGTTTACACAAATCACAAAAAAGTTAAAAGCAAAAATCGCATAAAAACGCTTTAAAAAAAGAAAAATATTCTATTATTCTCTCTCAATCAAATTTACTTTAGTTGAAGGTTTATAACATGTTTTAAACATTTTTCTTTTTTTCTTTTTAAAAAAATTAACAGTTTCAACGAGCATTATTAACTGGATTTTAATAATGATTTTTCATGTGCATCTTTATAAAGTTTTTTGTTGTGTTAATTTTGTTTACGAAGTTAAAATAAAAAATTTATTTTACTAATGAAAACCAAAAAAGATTCAGTGTTATTAATGTATCAACTGCCCATTCATGCAGTTCAAACTGCAACTATAATGTTTAAAAATTAATATAGGAATTTGGAATTGAGCGAAAATGTAATTTTAAATCTTATTTAAAATTTGTGTGTTTTAGAACAGCTCATCTCCAAAACCTGCTCGGAGACAAAGTGGTTGGTCTGATTCTGTTGATAAGAAAAAGGGGTTATTTTTTATTTAAATTTTTACCACTCTTCTATGTCTTAATCTTATAGCTTAGTTTCTTACAAATAAAATTCAATCATAATGGTCACTGTATAATAATCTATCACTTTTATACGTACTATACAATTACACAACAATATATAATGCATAAATTATAAGATACAATATAAAATGTTGTCTACAAATATCTTTATTTCGATTATTTAGTAAGAACGTATGTGACGATGATGAAGCAGAGTGAGTTTTATGTTCATAAATGTTTTTTTAATTGTATTGTTTATGTATATATATATATATATATATATATATATATATATATATATATATATATATATATATATATATATATATATATATTTATATAAATTCTATTTTCAGTTGTTATGTTTACTTTTTTTACTTGTATTTTTTTTTAAATTTAGTGACAGGTTAAAAAACGATTCAAAAGTTTTGTTAGATACTAATATAGATGATATTCCAGTTATTCCAGATCTTGAAGAAATACAAAAAGATGGTACTACACAGCAAGTTTCTGCTCCTCCAAGGTGATTTTATTATTTTAATTAGTGTTAGATATTATAAGTTTCATAGTTAGGTTCTTATAGAAAAATTTGTTTTCTTAGTGTGCAAGTAACAAGAGTGGCAACATATAAGGAATTGGATCATGATTTTGAAAAGCATGCAGGTTTATTAACATTGGTAAGGGTTGTTATTTGAGTATTTCAAAAGTATCCATGTTAATCAGTTTATTTTTTTTAAAGTTGCTTTTTTTATTTAAGGTTATTTAGCTAATTTAACTCATAAATGTTGAGTCGTTTGTTTTGTGGATTAATGGAACAATTTGTAGAACTTGCTTATTAAACTGTTTAAAACCATAATAAACAGTTTGAAAAACCTGCTCTGACTGAAAGCCAAGACTTTTGCTAGGGTTTTTCAGCCATTGATTCCAGCAAAGAAGATAAATAGATGATTTGAGCATTTATTTTATATAAGCATTGATGTGGTGTTTGTAAGATATGTTTTATTTTGATTGCATGCATAGGCTTTCTCAATTCATTAGGTACAACATCAATCTCAGATTTGAAAAATTTTGTTTAATGTTTCTATATTGCCAACTAGTGTACATAGAGTAATGCCCTCCTTTGAACTGGCCAATGTGCAATATTGGTCTATCAAATTTTATTGCTTTTTTCTACATATCCATAGAAACTAATGTTTCTGTTTTGGACAGCATTTTATCACCTATATTATATAAACAGTTTGTATTTCCAGAAAATAGGCGAAGCTCCATTTCAGAAAGGATTTCTGCAACAGTTTTTTTATAAAGAATATCATAATATATTTATAAAGAATATCATAAAGAAAATCATGAAATAAATCTCAGTCAGTCTTAAGGTATAAGTAAGAAGTGAAGTCTGAAGGTGTAGTATGAAATAAAAGTTTTAGTAAAATTATAGCATGATCTTAAAAACCTAAAGAAGAACACAAAAAAACTGAACACAAGCTAATGTGTCAAGACTACAATTTAGAATGCAGACTACAAGTTAGAGACAAGCTAAGGTCTGACAAGACTTTAAGTTAAGATGTGAAGGTAAGTGATTAGAATTGTTTGGAAAATGAGTTGAAAAATATCTAAATAAGAGATTAAAAAGACAAAAGTTTTGAGCTTTAAAGCCATCAGGGTTAGTTGTACTAGAGCCAATCCATTTATTGTGGGCAGTCGCCAATAACAACAATAATAGCTGAGGGATGATGAATATTGGTTTGGTCAGTTCGATCAGAAACAATATCAAGAGTGCAGTCTTTGGAAGAAAGAGAACAATAAAGAACAAAAAGCAAGGTAATTGAGTGAAAAGCTGCTAAGTAAAAGCATATTAAAAAAGGGATTCAGTGAGAGGATTCTAACCTGATTTCATTACAAATAGTTGAGTTGAAATATAAATAATATGCCCAGACCAACCATGGCTGTCGGGGTCTTTTATGCTAAAGGTAAGATTCATGTTTTCATCATCCTTGGCAGGAAACATAGTAGCACAGGTTTTTATCAATACCAGTCTATTAGATGAAGATATAATAGACAAAATTAACAGGCACTCTCTTATATTAAATCTAATAACTTACTTTCTTATCATCGATATGCAGTTCAATCTTTTTATTCTACTGCTGATTTGTTATTGGTAATAACTGATAGGTTTTATCATGAATTAAGTAGATGTGGTGAGGTTAAGGCTATTACTCTTGACATTTCTAAAGTCTTTGGTAAAGTTTGGCATGCTGGTTTTCTCCATAAACTCTCTTTTTACAGTGTATCAGTAAACATCTTTAAGGTTATTGAATCCTTCCTTACCAATCATAGTATAAAAGTTGTCTTTGATGGACAGCACTCTTTTTCATTTCCTGTAACTTCAGGGGTTCTTTAAGGTTCTATTCTTGGCCCTATAATTTTCTGATTTAAATTAATCTCCCAGAAATATTAAGGTATAAGATAGCATTGTTAGCTTATGACACTATCATTTATTCTTGTCTTGATAAGAAGCCAACACTCTCTTATTGCTTGGAGGTCCCCTCCAAGTAATCAGAGAGTGTTGAGCTTCTGAGATTGGAAATAAATTCACTTCTGCTACAGCATAGGACTCTCAACAGGCTAGTAAACTTTAACTCAGATAAAACTCTTTAATTTTTTTTAGCTAATTGTTATTGCAACAATCTAGAATGTATTTGATGAGTCATCTACCCTTCTAGGATTAACTCTTACTACCGATCTTTCTTGGAAACCATATATCAAATTCATTGCAAAATTAGCATTTGCTAAGGTTACATCTCTTTATTGTGCTCCCCACTTATTTACTCTGGATTCTATTCTTTATTTCTATAAAAATAGTGTGTTTTTACCAAATAAATATTTTCTGGTAGTTAACAAATAAAAATTTTCCTGTAGGTGCTAGTTAAATATAATTTATAATTAATATTTTAGCTTATTATAAATTATAATTGTTATAAATTTGTTATTATAGTTTATAATTTTTAATTAAAATTAAAAAAAAAAACTAATAATTAAGTTGTGAATTTTCAGTTATGTATGTGTTTTGTTTTAATGAAGCATTGATTCATGCTAAGTGATAACACAATTTGTTTTAAGTGATAACACAATTTGTTTTAAGGACAAAGATATTGATCTTAAGTTGTTAGGATGTGTATTATCATCAGAAGCTGATGTGTTTGAGGTTAGTGAAGATTCAAATTAAGAAAATATTATATTATATATTTTAAACATTTAGTGTTATAAATATTTACAATTGCCATTATCTATAAAATTTTTTATAGATAATTGCAATTATTACAGCCCTCAGAATTAGGAAAAATAAGTTTAACAATAAATTTCCAACATTTTTGAAGTTGACCATAGGTTGACAAACTTGTTAGAGGTTAGCATCAGATTGACATAAAAAAATTTGATGCAAAGGGATTACCATAAAATATAGAAACCAGGTCAGTAATTTTTTTGTCAGCAATTTGCATTTTGACAATTAGCATTGCCAAATGTCATCCCTAATTCCAAGGTATCTATAAATATTTTTATAGATAATTATATAATTATAACAAATATTTTTAAATACTTATAAATAGTTATTAATTATTTATGTATTAATAAATTAAGTTAGATATTTTAGATATTTATAAATACTTTAAGTACTTATAAATAGTTTGCTTTATGAAACTGTTCTTTATCTTGTTCTTTCCATAAAAAGAATTTAATTTCTCCATGAATTTTTTATAAAATTAAGTTTATTATAATTTATATTAGTTTTTACTTTTTTAAAAAGTATTGTATAAATAATATAATATAACATAAATAAACTAATTAATCAGGTTTTTTCTGTGGGGGTTGAACAAAATTTCTAAGTAAAAATTAAAAAAAAAAAAGATTTTATGTATGATTTTATATAAAGTATATAAAAATGATGTCTGCACATCAATTAATATAATATAAAAGTATTTTATATATATAAATATATATATAAATATATATATATATATATATATATATATATATATATATATATATATATATATATATATATATATATATACACACATATGTATACAAATAGTATTGCGTATTAAGGTAAGTAATCTGACATCATACTGATATAGCCTGCTGCTGGGGTTTCAGTACATACATCAACTGACAAATAGCCTGACTCCCAGTGGAGTGCTGCTACATCAACTGAGGGTTTGGGATGGGGCAGCAATTGTTTTATTCAGCATTCTTCGTTTTTTTTCTTCTTTTTTGAAAAAAAAGGTATAGCGTAAGGTAAGCAGAAAAAGTGAGCAAATGCTTATCAAAACACGCTTTAGTAAGTGTATATATATATTATATATATATATATATATATATATATATATATATATATATATATATATATATATATATATATATATATATATATATATATATATTGCTGATTTCGTGACCATGGGCACACAGTAATGAATGCTCAGAGTAACTGGAGTTGTTCTGTGAGGAAGACTTTCTTTTTGATATGTCGACTATTTGAAATAGGTGCATTAGTACCTTATATCTATATGTATATTCTAGTAAAAATGGCTTCTCTACATGATTTTTATCAAAATTTATTGAAAAATCGAAAGTTACAGAAATTCGATTAATAGGTATAAAACATTCTTACCTAGACATTAAGTTCAAAGCTGTCATTTGTAAAAGTACGTTAGATAAGGTTTTATTTAAATGCCAAAAGAATATATTATCCTCGCTGTTCTCTTTATCTACCTTTTTTGTAACGTTGTCTTTTCTATTTAAGAAAATATAAATAAGTTTTGGAAATCAAAGCTACCCACTTGATAAAGGTTTTTGAATATAATCTCTTTAGTAGCCACATTAAATTTGTTGAAACATTTTGAGGTGCAGCATGCTTTAATTTCCTGAAAACATTTTGCAGCCACATCTTTTTTCGTAGAACATACGTAAGCTTGACCTTTTGTCTGTAAATGCTTGCAAATTTTTTTTTCATTGTTAGGGTTTAGCTACTCTTTTTCTTGTCCTTGATTTATTAGCTTTTTCAGTAGGTTCTACAATGGAAGTAGATGGTATATCATTTACTTAGAATTTTGATCATCGCTATTATTAGGAGCCTGTTGAGTTTATAGTCTGAATCTGTGTCAGAACTAGATAAATCAAGTAAGCCTTTAATGTTAAGTTTATAGTCTGAATCTTTGCAGAACTAGATAAATCAAGTAAGCCTTTAATGTTGAGTTTAAAGTCTGAATCTGTGTCAGAGATAAATCAAGTAATCCTTTATCACAATGTGAAATGCCTATGTCAGTATTATAGACAATATTATTACATTCAAAAGTATAGATTTGTATTGATAGATGTTCACTGAAAGGTATAAACATTTTTGTTTTTTCCTGCAAAAATAAATAAAAATGTTTAGGGGAACAACTTTCATTCAGCAACTCTTTCACTAAATCTACATTTTCTAGACTATAACAAATAATCACCTTTATAGATTTACCTATTATAAAAATAAAATATATTTACTATAAATAAAACTGTTGTATATTATGATTTTGTGAATATAATGGCACAAAATACAAAGTAAATCTAGTTTGTGAGGTTGAGCCAAACAGACACCCATGTAGTTGGTGGGAAACAGCTGGTGCCAGAGCAGTTTATGTGGCTTAGCATGCACTGGCACTAACTGAAGAGCTGTTTAACAAAATGACCCAGTTGTGTTTGGTGCTGTTATCTTTTAATTAAACTACACATGGATCACTCTGGGATTAAAGAATTAGGTTTGACATTGTGTTTTCTGTTATGATATCCAAAAAAAAACAAGGGTTGGCCCACTTAAGTACTAAATACGTATAAATGTGAATATATAGGGGAGAGTAGGGCATCATGATACACTTTGGTTTTTGCTTCGTAACAACTTCGTAACATTTTAAATACGCTTTTTTTTTAAGAAGATAGTTTAATTCGTAAAATAATTATTTACCTGCAAATATAAGTTTATAAATTACCAAAATATAACAGATTAAACTAGTGAGGCTATTTAAATTAAAATCAGAAATTGATATCAAGGTAGCCATGGGTACCTTGATACACACTATGACCATCATTAAAAGTTAATAAAAAGTATAAAATGTACAGAAAATTTTTTTGCTTGAAAGATAAAATTAATAATTACAACGTAAATAATGCATCCAATGGTCCAAATCACATTTCGGAAGACCAGATAGTATATAGTTTTAAATGTAATTTTTAAGCGTCAATAAATAATGGCTTTGTATCGAAATCTTGTAGTATTTACATAAATCTCTTAAAAATTAAAGATAAATAAAAATATTCTCTGAATAATAATAAAGATAAAAATTGTGCATGTGAAAATTAAAACAAAGCTGAGTAATGAATGCAAGATAATATAACATGAAAGTTTCTGTAAACAGTAATAATATGAAAATCAGGAGATAAGTAAAATATTAATAAATACAGCAATAAGACTAAATAAATATTGTAATAAAACCAGATAATTTTAAGCCAAATGAGTGGTTAAAAAATTAGTTGTGGGTATTATAACAATGATAAAAATCGTGATATAAAAACGATGTAGAAAGCGGGAAAAAAAATTGTTAAAAAGTGAAGTTTTCTCTACGGTCCGTACCATCTCAAAGATACTGAATTTAAACTTTTTTATTGTCATTAAAACACGGAAAATATTAATTTTGGAAAAAAAATTGTAACTTATATAGAGTATTAAATTTATAACAAAAAACAGACTAAAACTTTTGCAAATTTCATTATCAGAATGTCATCTGCCAGACATAACAATTGTGGCTAATTTGGGAAAAAAGTGCCATTTTCAAAATAAAATAATTAGTTTCGTCCGCCGAAACTAATTATTTCATATTGTTTTTTTAATTGATAAATTATAAGTATGTCATCCTTATTAACCGGTAAAAAAATTGTGAACTCAATGGACCGCTAGAGTGACTTTTTTTGTAAATAAAGAAATCAATATCAGGACAAAATTATTAAAGTTTTGCTTTCTAGTTGAAAGTTTTGGTGAGTATTAATATTTTAAATAATTATCACATCAGTGTTGTAATTTATATGAATTGAATGAATTTGATTTTATTTAGAAACATAAATTTACAATCAAGAATAATTTAATTTTTTTCACAAAATTTAATAATACTGTAAATTAGTCAATCATTAATTATAAAGTATATTGACGAAGAGATGCAACACCAGGCATCTGTATTCTATCTAATGTGTAGGACAAATTGTCGACAAAATAAGTTGTCGATTATGATGGAAAACTTTTGAATAAGTTGACCGTGTGAGTGTCAATTGCTTCTTGTGGTAGCATATTCCAAGACGGTGTGACACAATTAGTGATGTCGCTCTTCGCAGTCTTCGACAAAAAAGTGATGTCGCTCTTCGCAGTCGCTAACAATTTGTTTCTGTAGCTTTTTATTATGACTTCTCCTGCCATATGCGTTATTAGAGAACCTTTCAGGAACCAAAAAATTAACAACAACATGTTAATTTAAGTTTTTTTATTGATTGAAATTGTTTTCAATCAAATTTAGAATTAATTCGCCTTCTGATAAAAAATCTCCCACTGTGTGTGAATGGAGTGGGGGAGGCAAGAGGTTGTCTTAATAATAAAATAGGTGGAAATTTTTTACAGAACACAAATAAAACAGTTTAATTCTAGTGTGGCTGGCGGTCAAAAGCGCATTTTTTTAACATCATAATTTCACAAGAATTTAATATGTTTTTATAAGTTTTATACTATTGATAGAAATAAACGAAAACCTAATTTTTGACAAGTCGAGATTTATGAGAATTTTTGAAAGTCGACGACTTCTAAAGCCTGTTTACGCTGAAAGTTATTATATTGTGTTATTATTTTGATGAAGTAATTTTCTTTGGAACAATATATTTTAAATTGGTACATGGTCATAGCATCTTTAACAGCAAGAACTGCTTCGATTTTCTGAAGCATACTATCAACAAGCTATTCCATGCCTTTAAAATGCAATTGAAAACGCAAGCTTCCTCATTACGCAATCTTTTATTTAATTTGATCATTTAGTAGGGATTTAGGTCTGTTAATTGTCTAGGTCAGCAGACTAAAATAAGTATATTTTTTTTAACATATGCTTAGTAAAGTTTTGTAGTGTGCTTAGAATCATTATTTCATAAAAAATACATACCGTCTCGAAATTCCCTGCAACTTGGCTTTGCATGATGAACCATGTTCCCACAAACCAAGGTTCCCACGGAACCGGTTTTATTCCATAATGTCATTAATCTTGTGAATCCATCTTTACTGTACAATAGTTCATTCATCACCATTGAAGGTTATGCAACATGTTGTTTATTGATACCAGAGGCTTCTTGACAGCCCAATTAGAATTTAATTTTATACACTTATGTAAACAATAGCGTTTTTCCATAGATGTTGTTAATACCAGTTTCTACTTTTATCCGATCTGTAGAAATGCGGCAATTTTTAGAGGCAGCTTGGACAATACATCTTCCTTTGTTGTAATTTTTCTCTTCGTGATCTTATTTTCTCCTGTGTTCTTATACTTATACAGAAAATAAGTAATTGTACAATTCTTTAGTTTTGTTAACCAAAATATATATATATATATATATATATATATATATATATATATATATATATATATATATATATATATATATATATATATATATATATATATATATATATATATATATATATATATATATATATATATATATATATGTTAAATTTAAAAAATGAAACCAAGAAAAACTTCGGTGAAACGCTTTGAAAATTAATAAAAAAGTAAATATTTCTATAAAAAAAACTTAGCCGGGTTTGTTTTTGACGTTGACTGTATGTAGAATCTTTTTTATAATTTTTTAAATTTTTTCTGACTTATCTTCAAATTCTCTTAAATATCACTTTTAAAATTCTGAGACGAAAACCTTTTTAATTATGCTTTTTAACAAATGTATACAAAATATATTTTCTAATTTTTATTCGACTTTTTTAAATTGACTCTTAAAAATAATGAATCTTTGAAAATAGGATTTCCATATTCTAACAATTATTTTCCCCTTAAAGCCATTTCTCAGAATCTTAAAACCTCTCAAAGTTATTTTTTAAAGCCATCTCTCAGAGTCAATTTAAAAAATGTTTTAAATTTAACCTAAAGAATTTTTTCATAATTCAAAGTTATCAAAAAACTTTATATGATTATAATATTTGAACAATTTTTTCTTATTATTTAAATAACTTTGAGGGATAATTGACAGCGATTGGTAATCTTATATATTGACTATCTTAGGAAGACAAAGTATGGGAATGGGATCGTGTGTTTGCTGAAGTATCTTCAGAGTTACGAAATGATTGGGAAAGTATCAAAGTTATTAATGATAAATGTGATTAAAATATGATATTACGCGCGTGCGTATATATATATATATATATATATATATATATATATATATATATATATATATATATATATATATATATATATATATATATATATACATCTTTAGTTTGAATATGTGATAATAATCAACTCTTTTTCGATTTGAGAGTGATCAATATATAGTGAAATAATCACAGTATAGATCAATAAATAAATAGAAGAGTAGAAAGGAAGAAAAAAAAAATTTAATTTTCCGTTAAAAAGTTGTTATTTCTAATTTAACCTTTTATATATATATATATATATATATATATATATATATATATATATATATATATATATATATATATATATATATATATATATATATATATATATATATATATATATACACGCACGCACAATTAAATATTTATATAAATATATTTATATTATGAAAATCTAATGTGTTATGATATAAAATATGGAATATGTTTAATTTTGTTTTAAAAATTTGCAGATTGTAAAGAAATTTTCAGCATATAAAAATACTTTTCGAGGCTTTTTTTATAACGATTTTTTTAAGAAAAATATGAATATATATATATATATATATATATATATATATATATATATATATATATATATATATATATATATATATATATATATATATATATATATATATATATATATATAATAAAATTTATCTTAAAATATATCTTCTAAAACCTCTTAAATAATATGTGTGAGTACGTGTTAGCAGGTTTTATATGCAAACGTACATTAAGTGGCGATCATAGAAATAGCACTTCCCATAATGTTTTCTTTTAGTTGCATTTTATAACCTGTTTAAATGTTTTAATGAGATTTCTTATAACTTACAAGTTATAGAAAATCTTTATTTTTTGGATATAAATAGGGGAATGTGATGATAAATTTTTTTTTGTCAAATGGCATTGTGGGGACATGCTCGTGTCAACTAATGCGTTTTAGTTGGTTCAAAACTGCCGTAAAGCATTCATAAAGAAATACTTAAATCGCCAGTGCAAGTAAAGCCTACAATAATAGCTTCACCAAACATTACGTCTTATAAGAGTTGGGTAACATAACTTATCTATTACTTGACCATAGTTCTTCAGCTAGTAACTATATATAATAGTAATCATCTACTAGAGTATATATCTAATAGTAATCAACTAGAGTATCTATATATAATAGTAAAAGTTCAGTAATTTCAATACGAATCGCAAAATTGTTAGGATTTCTAAAAAAAATCCTTTTTTAACTTCTAATGAAGTAAAAACGAAAATTGAAAACCAGTATCTCGTAGTGATACTGGTTTTCAATTTTTGTGTCAGCCCTAACCAGTTGTCGTCATTTACAAGAAGCTGGCTTTTAAGGCTGTATAGCAAAGATGAGTACCTATGTAAAAAAAAAAAAAAAGAAAAAAACTAAAGTAATTGAGGTTTGCAAATATGTTTTCTGTTGAAAAAACGTTTTGTGAGGTGTTTCATTTTTTATGGGGAGTTAAATCGCCTCAGGTCTGATTGGACAGTAAATTTAGACGTCTTTCGAAGCAAAAAAACAATTTGTATACTCTAAAGACGGTGAAATTAAGGATAAAATACAATAATATATTACCGAACATATGCTGATGATAACCTCCTATTATTTGGACTTTCATGCTCGACAATGACCCGAAAACATACTGCGAAGTTTGTAAAATTTTGGTTTGAGGAAAATAAAATTAATGTGTAGGAATAACCAGTATTTTCGATCTGAATTCGATAGAAAACTTAAAAAAAAACAATATTGGCTTCACGAGATAATTAAAACTCCTAAATTTTAATGAACTTTAAGAAAAAAATTTAGAAAGACCTTTTTTATTATTATTTTTTTGTTTTGTTTGTTTTTCTATATTTAATGAGTATAGATTAGGGGAGAGTGTGTATGAAAGAGCCAGTTTTAAAAAGGTATAAAAAAAGTCAGTTTTGATTAATTAAATTTTTTTTTTTTTTAAATTTAAATTTTTTTTTTTTTTAATTTAAATAGTTTCTTTATTGGGTAATACTTTAAAAATAAAATAAATCGGATAACAATGCTAAAAATCTGCATAGACCTATTTTTAAAAAAAGAGAGAAATCGGCTCTTTCATAAGTAACTATAACATCTTGTCAATGAAAGAGCCGCTCTGTGCTATGAATGAGCCGTAACATTTTTTCTAAAACGAACAAGAGTAATAATTTATTAACTCGACTTCTAAAAATCAGATTGTACGTTATATAATCATAATCGCGTTATATAATCAGATTGTAAGTTTTATAATTCTATGATAATCAATGATAAAACAGCTTTAATAATAGTTTCACTTTATTATTAAAAAAATATCCTCGCATAACGTCAACGTCGCTTTTCGTAGTTAATACTTGTGAAGACTTGTTTTTTTTTTAAAGATAAAAAATATTAAATGAGAGTAAGAAAAACAAAAGTATTAAAAAAAATATATTCAAATACTAATAAAGTTTTTAATAAAACTTAAATAATTTTTTTTGTTTCAAACTTCCTAATATTCTATCAAAACTTATTTTGTTTTATTATATTTACTCATATATCACAAGCATCGTTAATATATGTGAAATGCCTTATAATCACTATGATTCATAGATAACATTTATCGTCAAGATGTAGTCAAGACAATTTGTTCTTTTGACTAGTGTATATTAATTTTTTTGTAAACATTTTGTAAACATGACTAACATGAAACATTTTGTAAACATGACTAGTGTATTAATATACACTAGTCAAATGTTTACAAAAAAAATAATACACACTAGTCAAAAGAATAAATTGTCTTGACTACATCTTGACGATAAATGGTATCTATGAATCATAGTGATTATAAGGCATTTCACATTTATTAACGATGCTTGTGATATATGAGTAAATATAATAATACAAAATAAGTTTTGACAGAATATTAGGAAGTTTGAAACAAAAAAAAATTATTTAAGTTTTATAAAAAACTTTATTAGTATTTAAATATATTTTTTAAAATTCAAATGCACTAATGTTTTACGATTTCAGGTCAAGTCATTCAAACAATTAATTTCAATAGAATTTGATCAACGAATCATTACGACAAACAATGAAGTCGCAAAATAGTTATTTAGTTTTAAAAAAAGCTAATTAAAAAAGGCCGGCCTTTTCATAGCATTAAAAAAGTGGTTTTTTCAAAAAATTGTATGGTAAAAAAAAACCCTGAAATTAAACATTTTTTACCAAAACTTTTTAATAAAAATTTAATATTATTTGTGGAAAAAAAGGACACACACATATATATAACAATGCAACATATGTTTTATCAAATAATACAATATTCTTTATCTTAAAAATAAATAAGTAAACCCCCCAAAAATTACTTTTTATTTTCAAAGTTTTTAGTAGACCCCTGCGACGCTTTTTATTCTAGTAGAACTCTAATTTTTTTGTGCGAGACAGGTATCCAGCGTTGCCACATAAAAAGTAAAATACAATTATGGTCAGGTGCCAGTAAGTTAAATATAATGACATCGGCTCTTTCAAAACCTGGTTCTTTCATACACACTCTCCCCTACTGCAATTATTATGAAATTACATGACTAAAAATTCCGAATCGCGATGTAAAAAGAGTTATTTACGTTAATAAAGAGATTAGAAAGTTATTTTTAAGCAAAAAATTATTTAACTAATTTAACTAATTATTTAACTAATTCCACAGTGGGTCAGAATATACTAAAATTTAGTAAAATATTTCTGATATCGGAATTGAGTTTTAACGCGCTATATGGTTTTAGGGTCGACGGAAGGAAGGAAGATAAAGGCGCATTAATTGCTGTTGCAGTATTATGTACGAACAACTAAACTAGGACAATCTGTCTTTAAGTAAAAATAAATGTTTTAATAAAGAAAATTGACAACTCTGATTTGTACTATGGTACTATGATCTCCGACTTGGGGCGCTTTGATTTTATATGAGTAACATTATTTACATGTTTAATACTGCTATACCTATGTGTTATAAATGCTTTAGTTGAAGGGTATTAGTGTATATTATTAAAAAAAGTAAAACTGTTATAAAAAATATATATATTATTATAACCTAATACACACCAGAGTATAAAGTTTCAAAACAAATTTTCATTAGAAGAATGACAACAATTGTATGTATGAAAATCAGCCCGTTATATACTACTAACATACAGTATGGTGCAAAACTGAACCAGAATGCATAATATTTTTATTTTCTTATAAAGAATTCAGCATTTTGAGAATTAATATTAAAGCAGCCGTGGCGCAGTGGTAGCGCATTTGCCTCAGAAACGTAAGATCCATGGTTTAAACCCCACCTCTGGGCAAGTTTTGCGACATCGGTTGGGAAAGAGGTGTCAACTTCCCATTAAATGCTCTTCCGCGGTGCACTGTGATAAGACCGTAAGGACTTATTGGGGCACCTTAATCAACTTAAAAAAATATATATATATATATTGCTGGTAGGAATTATTATTTAAAAACAAATTTTATTAAGTATTTATTGAAGAAAAATATTTACTTACAAAATAATAAATAAAAAACATGGTGAATCACTTTTGCACCACGCGAGAAAAACTGTCAATTTTTGTCAATTTTTAATATTTTACCCATAATCCTTTAGCTTTTTTAACTGCTGCTAATCTTCTATTTATGCTCTTTACAAGATTTTCGCAAAGGTTTAACGAAATATTTTCCCACTGTTCTTGAACTCGTTCATATAACACATTAATGGATGATGGAGGGTCAGAATAGTTATTAACGAGCGCTTTTTTTAATTGTGACCACAAATTTTTTATTGGGTCCAAATCAGGACTTTGTGCTGGCCATTCTAGCACTTGAAAGTCCTGCGAAGCTAACCAATTTTTAACTATTTTAGCCGTGTGCTTTGGGTTATTGTTCTGTTGAAAGATGACCTCATTTATTGGGTAAAGCATATTTTCAACAGTTTCCAATAATTCGTTCTGTAAAATATCAAGATGCATTTCCTTATTCATGTTTCCAACTATTATTCCA